CAGAAAAAGTTTTCTCCTTTTACTTCTTACTCTCAAGATCTTGTCTCTGTAGACTTCTCCTGATTATATTCTGTAATTATCAGTATTTCAAAATTGCATGCTGAGGAGCTTTCTTTTGATGATATTCAGAATGTCTGTGAGAACACCCATATTCTCTTTCTTCTTTGGTAAGCTTTCTAATTATACAAACTGAAGATCAGCTAAAGAGAAACTCTAGGTTACTCCAGCTCTTACTGACTATCCCCCATAACTTGCACCATTTATTGTCTCAGTCTTTCATTTTCAGAATTTAATGTCCAGGATTGCAATCTACCTCACTCATAATGTATGTTTCCAATCTCTTCTATGAATGAGGCACTATTTTAGGCTCTTAAGGGAGATAGAGATGTGAACGAAACACAGTGCCCACCACTACAATTATTTATTGATTACCTACTATATAACCAGGTACTATGATAAGCTCGAGGATACAGTGATTGGCAATAACAGACATGACCCTTCCCCTCATGGAACTTATTAGTGAAAGAGGCAGACAGAACCCACATGTGTTATGTTCATCATTGTATATACAACACATAGTAGGTACCTAATAAATATTTAATGAGTGAAAGTAAACAGCCAAATATATAATTGCAAACTGTGAAAAGTGCTATGAACTAAATACAATAGGAAATAGGGATATAATAGGGTGGAGAAAAAAAGGTTGCCAGGAAGACCTGTCTGAGAAAGTTGACAATTACACAAAGACCTGAAGGATGAGGAATAGCTAGCCATGCCAAGACTATAGATATAAGCACTGTTGGAGAGGGAACAGTATGGATAAAGACTCTGGGGTTAAGTCAGAGCCTGACATGTTTCAGTGGCAAGACCATAGTAAGCAAGGGAAAATTGATAAATGATGAAGAATTGCAAGATAAAGAGTAGAAGTAGGCAGGGTTCTTATAGGACAATTGTAAGCAGTATGGATTTTATTCTAACTGGAATGAGAAGTCATTGAAGGCCTTGGGAGTTAAGTGATATGACTTGTATTAAAAAAAATTCACTCTGGCTATAGTGAGAAGACAATTATGAGAACAAAAATGAAAGCAATGAACAAAATAAGCTGTTGGCCAAAATAGATCCAGAGTCATAGAAGTAGGAAACTGACTGACAAACCTCAGAGGGATCTGGGGTGGGAGGGGAGGGAAGAGATAAACCAAAGAACGTATATGCATATATGCACAACCAAGTCACAGGGACACTAGGCTGGGGAAGGCAGGAGGGAGGTGAGAGCAGGGAAAGAGGGGGTCAATGAGGAAAGAAGGGGGACATCTATAATGCTTTCAACAATCAAAAACAGAAAGCAAAGACACCAGTTGCAATTATCTTTGGGAGACGACAGTAGTTTAGACTAAGGTAGTTGTGGTAAAATTGATGTCAAGTTAATACTTTGCAGTTAGACACACTGACTGGATGTAGAAGACTAGAGAAAAGAAAAATTAGGATGACTTCCAGGTTTCTAGTTTATGTGACTAGGTGGGTGGAGGAAAACTGAGGGCAGGAACAGTCCTGGGGGTGTATGTGTCACTGTTTATTTTTAACATGTTTTATTTGAAATGCCTGTGAGACATGTAAATGTAAATGTCAAGTAGGTTGCTGAATATTTGAATCTGGAGCTTTCTAATAGGGAAGACAGGACAAGGAAGTTTGTAATAAGAGCCTTATAAATAACACAAAACTTACATGTTCAAAGAAAATGTTACGTCTGGCTGGGTTAATCAGAGGAATTTTTAGGACAAAAATGTTGACATTTGAGCCAAAGGAAAGATGACAAGTGAGAACATTCCAGGCAAAGGGAATGGAATAGCAAAGGTAGAGATGGCAAAAAACCTTAAGGCAGGTTCAGAAACTGAGAAATAGCTCATTTTGGATAGAATATGGATTGTTTCAAATGTTGGAAGATGAGTCTAGAGAGCATGGTTTAAGCCAGATAGGAATTTGTATTGCACTTGGTGGGCAACTAAGAGCACTAGCAAGTCTTTGAGCAGAGGCATAACCTGATGACATGAGTTTGTTTGTTTTTAAATCCTCATCCGAGGATATTTTTCCATTTATTTTCAGATAGAGTGGGAGGGAGCGGGAGAGAGAGAGAGAGAGAGAGAGAGAGAGAGAGAGAGAGAAACAGATGTGAGAAAGACATGTTGATTGCCTTCTACACAATCCCGACCAGGGCCAGGGACCGAACCGCAACTGAGGTACTTGCCCTTAACCTGAATCGAACCTATGACTCTTTGGTCTATGAGACAACGCTCTAACCACTGAGCCAGACCGGCCAGGGCCTGATGACATGATTTAAAGCAATTTTGTAATAGTGAGTTGGGTGGATTAAAGGAAAACAGGAGGCAAGGGAGGCCAGTTAAGAATCTATTTTAATGATCAAGACATGAAATAATAAGAACCCAAACATTGATTGTGGAAGTGGAAAGTTAAAGGGCAAATATGAGAGACATTTGAAAGGAGAATTACGATTATGTTGACCTAACAAGATAGACAGGAGGAGGCACCCACTTTTTTCTTCTGAATGTCTTTTGCCTCCACACAGTTTCATAAGCTCTGGTAAGGCTGAGTGACAATTTTCAATATCTCCACCGTGGCATTTAACATTGGTTAAAGGGACCTTATCTGGTATGATTTCATTGTAAATAGGTAACAAAGAGGTAGCTCTGGTATTGTAGTAAATAGACTCACACAGTTAACTGTTGCTGGAAGAAACAATATAGGGTTGGGACAGGGAAATGGGCTGAGAGTAAGCACTAGTAAAGATGCGTTAAATTTTTCCACCTTTCTTTTCTTAAGTCCAGTTGACTGTAATCCTTCCTATTCTGTCCCCTCACTCATTCATAACTCTTTCTTCTCTCTTCTCTCTCTCACTGAACCTTAAATTCTTTGAAATTTTTCCTACACCACCCCTTCACCCATGTTGTCCTTATCTGTGCAAAGTCCCACTACTCACAGCCCCCATCTGAAGAACAAATATGACATAGAATGGCTGAACATGCTCCCTCCACCTTCTCTGAGTAAAATTTAGGCAACTGGGGCCCTCAGTGTCATAGTCCAAATGTCTAACATGAGATCACGTGGCAGGCTACAGCTGCAGTAAGGTGAGGGTAAGAGGGCAGGAGATATTTTAAGTACTTATTCTAATGGTAAACCTGGCTCTGGCCTCCCCCTATTCCTTGCAGTCTCACTGGAATATCTATAATGGGCCTTCTTTCAAAGGAGATCAGATAAGTTTGGGAGAATCTTCTGAAGTAATTCTTCAGAAAAGGAACAACGAATATTCAAAACATTCCTCTGGACTAGCTAATCCTTTTGTGATTGCTTGATCCCACCTCCTTTTTATTATTTCTCCTTTATAGTTTTCACTGTTGCTATGTTTTTTATGTGTTCAATGTTCAATGTCTTTTGAAGAGTACCTTGAACTCTTTGGAGAGTATGTGTTATAGAAATACAATAAAGCAAGGAATAAACAATATATCTATTTTTTACAAGAGTGTAAGTTTTACTATTTCTGGTAATATAAGATCTACCCCTCACTCAGCACTAGCCTGAGGAGTAGGTAGGTGGTGTATTCTGAGAAATATCAAATAGATCTCCCTGCTCTATAAATAGCTCCCTTACTACCTGAAATCCCACAGATTGATGATACATATTTTAAAAATTTGGGCCTTGAAGATTTCTTTTCCAAGAATTCCTTATTAAAATATAAACAATACAGAGGGAGATGGGTAGATGGGTCACAGTTTAACCTTTGTGCCATTTACATTAACCCATCATTCCTACTAAACACATTTCTCACATTCTAGCTTTTTCCATGCCTTTGTTCATGCTATTCTTCCAGAGGTAATGTGAAATACAACATAAATTATAAATATAAAATTAACTTATAGTTTCACAAGTCTATCATTTGATATCTAAATCCAAGCCTACTCATTCTTTTAAAAATGATTTATTTTTTCCAATGTAAGAAGAATAACAAGTTTATTATAGAAAATTTGAAAAAGGCAGGAAGATAGCAAGAAGAAAAAAATATTAATCATAGTCCTACCACCTAAAGAACAACAGTTGATACGTGTGGTCACTCTCGTCCTTTAAATAAACCTTAGTTTAAGTCCCATTTCTGATGTGGTGCCTTCCTTGAACTTCTTCCTCCAGACCTTCCCTATCATGTTCATATTACTCTCTTGCGCAAATTAATTAACTTGGTGTGTGTCGTGTGTTTTCAACTAGATTGTTCAGCCTTAAAGGCTGAATCCATGAGTTATACTTCTTAATTTATCCCAAAACACCTAGTATACTGGACCCACTATTTGTTGACTGATTTAACCTAAATGAATACAAACCATTTCAGAAAGGATAGAAAATAGGCCAAGTATCTAAGTCATGAAAGTTAAAGCTTTCAGGTCACCTGGTTTGGTGACTCTTGCTTTTCTATTCCTGGAACTCTTGAAAGCCTACTGAACTAGCCTCTTTCCTCACACCAAAATGAATAAGAAGCAGACTAAGAGCAAGGATTTACTTAAAGATTCTCTAAATAAGGCATAAAGGTGAGAGAGAAAGAAGTGGGGGAGGGAGGAAGAGAGAGAAAAGAGGAGAGGAGAGGAGAGGAGAGGAGAGGAGAGGAGAGGAGAGGAGAGGAGAGGAGAGGAGAGGAGAGGAGAGGAGAGGAGAGGAGAGGAGAGAGGAGAGGAGAGGAAAGGAGTGGAAAGAAGAGAGGGGTAGATAGAGTATATAGTCTAGTGTTCAATCCAGTATGTGATTTGCCTCCAGCACCGTATACAGGATCCCATCCACTTGTTCTGAGTCAAACCCGATCTCACGAAGCTCCAAGTGAGGGAGGACAGAAGTAAGGAGATAGCTGACGTGGATACGTAGCCGCGTAAGCTTTGCCAAAGCCCTGTATGATGGAGTGAGGGGGCAGGAGAAGAGATGACATGAAGTCATTAGCCAACAGAACAAAATGAAGCTCCTTAAAAATGGGCCTACATTTCTCAACAATTAGTTTCCATTAGCTACAAAGAAAGAAGAAAGCACAATGCCACCAAGCAGAGGGAGACTGGCTGCAGCTCTCTAAGAAGTAATTCCTCAATCCTTGGTGGCCTATTAATTGATTCAGACTACCTCCTTTATCTATGACCAGTAACTGGGGTCCTAAGGGATGCTTCCCATTAGCACTCACAAGCTGATAACTAAACCCTAGTAATTAACCTTTCTAGGTCATCTCCCTCTGGGGTCCGGTAGGAGACCTGAGCCTTCTGCAGCATTTCCAGGTGCGTCTCTGTCTCCTTCAGTTTCTCTTTTAGTTCTTGCTTTTCCTCTTTGGTTCTTTCCAGCTCAGCTTTCAGAATCTGGAATTCAGCTTGGCGATAGCCCATATGTTTTTTGCTCCAATATAAGCCTTCCGTTTCCTGGGTACTGTAGGTCACCAATTCATGTTGGACTTTCTTGAATTCAGAATGCCAATGATTCCTCTCCTGTTCCAGCTCCTCCACCTGTAGTCCAAGAAATAGAAATTCAATGACCTCCACATGCTACAAGAGTGGCAAAAATTGTCCCTAATATATTCACTCAGTGATTCCTCTGTACATATTCCTCTACTTATGGACCTTTTCAATCCCAAAATATAGGAGGGAAGGGTTCACCCAATCTGAAACATACAACAGAATAATTCAATGGCTTATTATATTTAAAGGCCTCAGAATATGAATTCATCAGAGCTTCAACTCTCTGGTCCCTTGGTTTCAATGATCTCTTATTCCTAGTGTTAAGGTGCTTCCCTAACCTTTTGCTGGAACAAATTCCTTTCTGCCAGAACACGTTCCAGTTTTTCTGTGGTTCTTTTCAGTTCTTCCAGCTCCCTTTGGTTCTTCATCTTTGGTGTATTATGACCTCCACCCTCCTCATAGACTCTTCCTTTCTCCCCAGTGGCTACAGCAGGGGTCATAGCAGAGGCCACAGAAGAATAAGGCACTGGGTTCCAGGATTCAACTGCTTTTCTTCTCTCGGCAAGCTCCTCTCGGTTAAAAGGGATCAGCTGAATGGGAGCGCCTGAATCTCGAACACCTTTTGCAACACCGACAACAGCTACAAAAGGTCCTTTGTTTACTTCTTCCTTATTTATATTTGTGCTGCCTCTGTTAGATTCTTCAGCTACCAATCTTGGCATCTGATCTTCTAATTCTTCAGGGAGCAGGGACCCCTGGTGTTGTTCCTGGGCCCCTGAATACAGAACTGAAACTTCCCTACTTTGACTGGTATTCTTGCTTGCTTCCGGGTATTCTGGAGAAAGGTACGGTGGTGTGCTTCTCTCAGAACTGGATTTATCATGGCTGTTCTCCCCTTCTGGAAAAGCAACAGCTGCCTCTACCCTCCTGTAAGAGCCAGGCATGGAATAATCTAGAGGAGGCGTCATTTCATTCTGGAGCCTTCTCCGTTTCTCCACAGGTTCCTCACCTAGGATCCATTTGTACTTACTGTAAAAAAAAGAGGAAATTACATTTTAAGATGTCAAAATATAAGCTAAGTAGAGCTCCTCTTCAAATTTCCCGTATTAAAACTGACTCTAGCTGTTATGCACAGCTCATTTCAGGTTAGTAATACAAGTTTAACCCCACCCCCCCCAAAAGCCCCTACACCTTCACTATGCAGTTTGCTGAGATAGCAATTGGTCTTAAGAGGGATAAAATCAAAAGGTACGAAGAGTCAGCAATCTGGATATAACAGGACCAGACTCACCTTGGTTAAAATTCTGAAAATAGAATTAAAACCAGCTTAACTTAGAAGTTTCAGAAATGCAGGTCAAGGAAGGAAAACAACAATAAAAAAAAAAAAAATACACACGCACAATTGCCTAATATGAGAACAGGGGGAAAAAAAGCCATAAAAAGCCTACTGGAGTATGTGGAGGAGAACTGAGCCAGCTTGTTAACTTTAAAGTGTCACAAAAACCTTCCTGTATCAAAGATGTATGCACATTTTTTTTTTTTTTATATTGCAACGAACACCATATAATTCCTTTACCAGCCAACTGGATTGTGGCTATTGCCCATTATTCACTTGTAAAAGTTAATTAAAACACCGGGCCCTGGTCATAAACAAAGAAACTGAAACAGCCTATTCAAGTCATTTCCCCTTATGGCAAAAGAATCCCCTCTGTTGGGGTAAACAAGCACACCTAGGACGGTGACCTCAGTCACCTTCCATTTCTGGCTGCTATATGCACTAAAGGTTGAAGGAACAAACAAAACAACTGGTGCCAGTGAAATCCATAGGCAATTTTATATGATGTGGCACGATGGGACCCCCATTTTTATCCTTTTAACTATTCTGCCATCTCTGCAGAAAACCAAGAGATTTCAAGGTAAAGATCGACTTCTCAATTTTCAGTGAGAGTCAGGTATGTTCTTGGACAAGTCATAGTATTTCAAAGCTGCTTGTATTTCTCTGCAGTTTCTGAGAACATCTGTAAAACATCTCAAACCTCAGCTTATTATAGCACCTGAATGTTCTTCAAAACTAGTATTCACCCAGAAATAAAACTGTTCTGCCATCTTAACAGATTTTGTTGTGTCAGCCTTAGGGGGAAAGCAAAAGGATTTAGGAGCGATGTAAGAACAAATGTATCCATTTTTAAATGTATGTAAGGGCCACTGCAGATGGTCCATTTAGCTCTGGTACTGAAAAAGATAGTAAAACAATCAGTTTGCAAGTATAAAGAAAGGGTAAATTATATTAGATAGTAACAACAAAGTTTTATGAAAGGCAATGAATGTCAAATTATCTGTCTTCTCTTCATTTTCCAATCTCTAAGGGTTCTGTCCTTAATTCTCTTCTCTACATACATTTTTTCCCCCTTTGATAATCTCATACAACCTCTTAGTTATAACCTCTGGGCAATAACTCCCAAGTCATTTCCCAGCCCTGATCTCCAGTACTGAATTTTCTATTTCTTACTGTTTTTTGTTTGTTTGTTTGTTTGTTACAGATGTTTGTTTTTTACCCCATTGACACCCTCCTCCCCATCCCGTCCACCCCATCCCTGGCTTTGTTGTCCATGTCCATTGGTTATGTGTACATGCATATAAGTTCTGTGGTTGATCTCTCCCCCCCCCCCCCAGCTCCCTCTTCTAAGGGTTGTCAGTCTGTAACCTACTTCCACGTCTCTGGGTCTACCCTATTCCTCAGACTGTTATGATCATTATATTCTACAAATAAGTGAGATCATGTGGTATTTGTCTTTTTCTGCTTGGCTTGTTTCGCTTAGGATAATGCTTTCCAGGTCCCTCCAAGTCGTCTCAAAGGATAAGAGATCTTTCTTTATTACAGCTGCATAGTACTCCATTGTGTATATGTACCAGTACTGAATTTTCAACTATCTATTACACATTTCCTCCTGGAAGTCCCACCGATATCTCACTCAGTATGTATAAAATTGATCTTTCATTTTCACCTTCAAACCTAGCTCCCTCTCCTGTTTCCTATTTGCGTTATGATACCACTAAACTCTCAGTACTTTTATATAGTTCTACCACTACCAATATTCAAGTTCAAGCTCTCATGACCTCTCCTGGACTATCTCAGTGGCCTCCTCAAGTCTCCCTTCTCTCACCTCCAGATCATTTACTGCCAAGTTAATCTTCCTAAGTAAGGCATTGCTCTAATTATGTCACTCCCCTATTTGAAATCTTTATTTATTGCTCCCATGTCTAAGTCCAGCTCAAATGGTACTTCTGAATTACTATAGCACTTTAGCCCTCTCTTATACGTATCACTTTCTACTATGTGTGTCTGTGTGTATACGTGTATGTATGCATGTATCACAGGTTCCCTACTAAAGTATTAGTTCCTTGACAGAAGGAAGCTTAACTAATTGTGCTACATGGGCATGAGGCAACAAAAACTTTGCACATAAGATCCAATAAAAAAGAAAGTATCTTGTGAAGGAGGTAAAAATAAATGGATTTTACTTTTTGGTTCTATAAATACTTATTAATTTTATAAATAAAAGCCTGGTTCTTTCCTCTAGGAATTAATTCTTATTCCAAACCTGTATTCACTCATTTAGTAAAGATTAATTTAGAGTTTACATATTAGACATTCTTTTCTATCTACATAGTTTCTTCATATTTTCTTTCTTCTGTCACCTTCCTCCATTGTATGTCTGCAGAGAAGCAGGTATTTTGATAAGAAACTATGTTTAATCTGCAGCTCAATTTGGGGAGTACTGCCGTGTTAACAACTTTAAATCTTCTGATCCACAAACATTAATTATCTTTCCATTTATTTAGATCTTTAACTTCATTCAACAATATTTTGTTGTTTTCAGTATACAAAGTCTTGCTTGCACTTTTGTTAAATTTATTTTAAAATATTTTATTTTTAAAACTACTGTAAATGAAATTATTTTCTTAATTTCTGTTGTTCTTTTGAAAGAGACAATTTTTGTTTTCACTGATTTTCTGTATTGTGTTTCTATTCTCCATTTAATTTTTTATTTTATTTTATTTCTTAAAATTTATTTATTTATTTTTGTTACAGATGTTTCCCCTTTTTCACCCACTGATTCCCCCCTCCCCCTCCCTCCCCGCCCTGTCCCCAGCTTTGTTGTCCATGTCCATTGTTCATGCATACATGCATTTAAGTTCTGTGGTTTATCTCTCCCCCACCACCCCCTCTTCTGGGGATTGTCAGTCTGTACCCCATGTCTCTGGGACTATCCCATTCCTCAGACTGTTATATTCATTATATTTCCATTCTGATTTTGTTATTACCTTCTTTCTGCTTGATTTGGGTTTGGCTTGCTCTTTGTAGTTTCTTAAGATGAAAGTTTAGGTTATTACTTTGAGATCTTACTTCTATTTTAATACAAGCTTTTACAAATATAATTTCCCCTCTGAGCACTTCTTTAGCTTCATCTCATAAGTATTGGGATATTCTATTTTCACTTTCATCTTCTCAAGATATTTTAAAATTTCCCTTGTGATTTCTTCTTTTACTCATCTGTTATTTAGGAGTATGTTATTTAATTTCCACATTATTTGTGAATTTTCCCAATTTTCTTTTGTTGTTGATTTCTACTTTAATTCCATTACATTTGGAGAACATCCTTTGTATGATGTCAACCCTTTTCAATTTATTGAGGTTTATTTTATGGTCTAACATATGTTCTATTTTGAATTATATTCCATGTGCACTCAAAAATAATATATATTGTACTGTTTGGGGGTGAAATGTTCTGTGTATGATACCTTAATTTCCTGAAGATACTTTTACTGGCTTTAAGATTCTTAGCTGATAGTCTTTCTTTCAATATGTCATCCCACTACCTTCTGGTCCCTATTGTTTCTGATGAGAAGTCTGGTATTATTCTTAGTAGGATTCTCTTGTATATAATGAGTATTTTTTTCTCTGCTTTCAAGATTTTCTGTTTGCCTTTGGCTTTCAATATTTTCACTATATGTCTAGCTGTGAATCTTTGTGAATCCTATTTTGAGTTTGTTGAGCTTCTTGGATGTGTAGATTAAAGATTTAAATCAAATTTGAGAGTTTTCAGCCATTATTTCTTTGAATATTTTTCTACTCCTTTTCCTCTCTTCTCCTTTTGGTACTCCTATTTTGAATATGTTAACGTACTTAATAGTGTCCTACATTTCTCTGAGATTCTGTCCATTGTTTTCATTCTTTTTTCTCTCTGTTCTTAGCATAATCTAAAATTGATATATCTTCAAGCTTACTGATTCTTTCGTCTACCAAATTTAATGTGCTGTAGAATCCTTTTAGTATAATTCTCATGTTAGTTATTATAAATTTCACCTCCAAAATTTCCATTTGGTTCTTAAAAAAAATAATTTCTCTCCCTTTATTGATATTCTCCACTTGATGATACATTGTCTCCTCTAGTTCTTTGAACATATGTGTAATGGTTGCTTTGAAGTTTTAGTCTACTAAATGCAACATCTAGGTCTCTTCAAGAGCAGTTTGTATTGCCTGCTTCTTTTGTCCCTATCTACAGGTCACATTTTCCTGTTTCTTTACATATCTCATAATTTTTTTTGACAATTGGATATTTTAGATAATATAGTATAGCAACTCTGGACACTGATCCCACCTCCCTGACTGGTTGATTTATTTGCTTGGTTGTTTATTTAGTGACTTGGTTGAACCGACTATGAAATCTATTTATCCTCTGGTATCCTTGCTCAGATTTCTTCTTGATTTTTATCTTTTACCTATCAACCTTGGAGTTACCCCTGGCCACTTATTGGTCACAGGTTGTGTTTAAGCCCTGTTAGCTAGTTAGATATTTTACCCTTTACCATTGGATGCATGTGTGGCCTAAAAACTGCTATCACAGTCAAATAAATTTATGTTTCTGCCCCATATTCATCCAGGTAGTAGTAGTAGTTTGAATTTTATCTTTCCAGTTACTGCTGAGAAGGCACAACCTTAAGCATGTACACAGTCTTCCAGACTGCCAAGGGTATGTGTAATTTTACTTTTAGCCTGGCTTCTTAGAAGTTGCCCCTGGTTTAGAATACTTTATTGCTCAGCCAGTGGTTTGTTAGAGGTTGTGCTTAACATCCTAGTGCCATTGAGGTCCCTTCTCCTTGTTGTTTGATTGGTGTGAGGCTTGGGGACTGCTTTCAAGTCCACCTTATGTCCTGATCTGATAGCTCCCTAGAGAGTGTAGCCTTGTGCTTATGCATAGACTTCCTAACCTCCAGGGTTGACTGTGACCCCAAGAAAGCTCTTCTTCACTACCTTTTCACCGTGGTTCTATCTGTTACCAAACATCTGATTGCTCAGCTATTTTGCTTGTTGTAACTTGTATTGTGGAGCTATGAGTACTCTCTCAATTGTTCTCCACTATGATTTCCTTTATTTTTGACAATGCCCTTAGGAATGGAATTATCCACGATCTCTTCCACATAAAGTCATTTCTTTCAGGTAGAGCTAAGGAGTTCTTCATCTTTAAGGCTGTATCTCTTCCTAAAGAAGAGGTGGGGGTAGAGAAAGTGGCCCACTTCCCCAAGAGTCAAAACTTTTCTTTTTGATCAATAGGTGCTGAGATGGTTTTTGGTTTGCTCCTGGCATAAACTTCTGCCCTACAAGCAAGCTGAGGCTGGACAAATAGTAGCCCAGTGTTGTCACCATACCTTCCCTAGGTGAGTACTTTCACCCTGAGTTGAGATTGGATGAAGGAAGAGAAAGCTAGCTAGAAGAGAGACCCAGTACTTCTTTGGTCTGTCTGGAATAGAGCTTTTACAAGACAGAACTGGGGGAGATGGGAAATGTCAGTGGCCTGACCCTTTCAAGTGAAACCATAGCTCTAGACTAGGAGCAAGGGGAAGAGAAAGACCCCAAATTCTTGACCCACCCCCACACCACCTGGATTAGAGCTCCCAGAGTAGTCTTCATAAAACACAGCTTGGCCCTGGCTGGTTTGGCTCAGCGGTTAGAGTGTTGGCCTGCGGTCCAGAGAGACGTGGGTTCAGTTCCCACTAAGGGTGTGTACCTCGGTTGCAGTTTGTCCCTGGCCCTGGTTGGTCGTGTGGGTGGCAGCCACTCGATGTGCCCCTTTCACATCGATGTTTCTCTTGCTCTCTCTTCCTCTCTCTCCCCGCCCCCTCTATCTGAACAAAAAATGGAAAAATGTCCTTGGGTGAAGATTAAAAAAAACAAAAAAACAAAAAAACACAGCTTGGAGGAGGATGGGAGCAGGCTAAATGCCAAAGACTCTTGCTGTTCTTTCTGATATTTAATAAATGTTTCTCCATTTTCTGTATGCCCCTAGGGCAATTTCCAGTAACTCAGAATGATTGTTTTATTTTAGTTTAATAACTTTTTCTAATTAAATGGTTATTTGTTGGTGAAAGTACCCACTAGACTCATTTCTCCATTCTGGAAGTCTCTCTCAATGAAAGTATTTTAAAATGTTAATACTGGCCCCTGAATCAACTTATTCATTAGAAATATTGTTCTTTTATTTCTACCTCATATTGTTTCAAATATTCCTTCAAACTTACTAAAATGTCTCTCTTTTCCTTCCACCATTACAATGTAATTTGGGGTTTTTTGGTTATCCTTCTACACATAGATGAATTAGCCTTTGACATGTAACTTACTCAAAGGCTTTCTAAATATCTAAATAAAATACAGCCACTAATTCTCTTCTTTTTACATATGCTTATGGCTACTTTAGACCTCAGTTTGTACTATTCATATGAAACCTAGTATGTATTGGGGATACCTACATATAAAACTTTGGCTACCACAAGTTCCTTCATCTTTGATTCCATCACTGCCTTAAAACACTGTCTTTCATACAGTAAGCACTCAAATACACATATAATAAGTGAACAGAAAGGGATGATTTTTGTTAAAAGAAATAAGCTATGTTTCCCTAAAAGGTTATGCCTGTTTCATACTGGCTGAATCTATTATCTATTGCAGGTGCTGCCCTGCTCTTGTTAGATTGTGAGACTCATAAAACTATTTCCAATGACACCTTGGGAAGCCTTACTAGGTCGTATAACCTACCCTACTAGGAATTTTAAAAACTTTTATAGTGAAGGCATTATTTTATCTAGAGTTAGAAAGTTGTACTACATGACCCAAGGATCCTTATCACCTTCAGGTTTCAATAATAACAAAAGAGACCTTTGTAACTCTTGACTAAATCGATAATGCCATTAACATTGTTTTATCGGAAAACCTTATATATTTCACTGAACTCTTGAATACCTTCATTTTCCCTTATAAAAACTCAGATTCATTCCAATCAATCTGAATCCCCTTATACATGTAGCTTGAAATGACATAATCATCATTTACTGATCTTGCATAAAACATATGACATCAGCAGCAACATCAATTATCACATATTCTTTCTCTTGAAAGATTATTCTAAAATTAAAACTACACATGAAGAATCAAAGTACTTTACCTGTCCTCTATAGCAAAATCCCAACTCTGGGCATAGCAGTTCCACAAACACTCCTATAAGCATCTCAATAAAGACTGATAAAGTATGCCACCCAATGGATGTACGGACATACTGCACTCATAAAATATACACACATACATAGGTTAGCATTTGTAATCTCCTTCAGGTTACCAAAAGTCAATACAGAGTAATGAAAGAAACACTGACAAAAAGGGGAAATTGGTCACATCAGGGAAAGTATAGGATTCAAGAGCAATGACACCTTAATACTCCAGTGGCAATTCTGATACCTGACCATCAAGGAGAATGAGGTAGAGAGGTAACAACCTGCTTGAAAAACACACAGCACTTTACTGTACAACCTTATGAACCTACAGTGGGAGCTGGAAAACTACAGATGGTAATAGAGAAAAATTATGCTCAAGCCCCTAACACTGACTAGACTATATTTCTTACCCCTTGCTAAATAGTTCGGTCTTAGAAATTGCTTCTTTGATATGACTAAAATCCAATCATTAGTTATTGAGTACCTCTAAATTCTTTCATACAAGTTCTCATTTAATTCATTTAGAATTTTATTAGTTTATCTCCTAATAGCTTACTTCCTTTTTGTTCATGTTCAGGGGGGTCATGGGGTTCTTCCAATATCTATAGGGCTTAATTGTGGAAGAATCATTGAATAGGGACTTGCACACATGTAGAGATGTTTGTCTAGATGAGAAGCTGAAAAGACCCACCTAAGAAGCAAGAAACAAGGAAAAATATCAGTAACATTGGGAGGAAAAGCAGGAGTCATTTTTACCTTATCATGTATTCCATTGCATCTATCCTAAGTTAAGAAGCTATCCAAAGTGAAGAGGGTCAATTGAAAGTTCACAGCCCACTACATAATACTCACATTATTGATGACTGTAGAAATTTCTACGATTAGGGAACAACTCTATCTGACCTATGTCTTGGCTCTGCCAGAAGTGAGAAGCATAATACAGAGGAGAAAGCAAGTTTGAATCAAGAGTCCTGAGTTCCAGTCTTATGGTATTATAGGCCAGTCATATCTTTCAGTGCTTCAAACACTCTTGATATTTAAGAAAAAGAAAAGGTATGCTCCTTCCTGTTATAAAGACTAACAAAATAATACTGATGGGGAACGAGAAGATGAACAAGTGAAGTCAAAAACTAAACTTACACTAATAATTTATTCTAGGAAACAATGAACTAGAAGGCTTACCTAATGGCACAGACTTCTAATGGATATTTTTATATGTGGCCAACATATGCTAAGTATATGGAGATACACAGGACTTTAATATTCCTACACTTAAGAAAAGAAACAATGCTTATCTATATAACTTTGGCTTACATTTGTATAGCACATTATGCTTTTCAAAGAGTTTTCATGTCTATTATTTCACTTACACAATTCCCAACATAATGTGAATATACAATACATAAAAGAGCATTTGTCAGATGATCACCTCAAAAAAGTAAATAAAAGGATGGATAGACAGGTTTGATATAGCAGTTGTAATGTTGAATAACTGGGGGTGCAAGCAACATACAATTCTATCAATCCAAAATAGTGCTTATCTTTTTGAATCCCATGTTAGGCCTAAGGAAAAAGATAAATATAATCATACCAACCTACATTACAGGAAACAAACCCTGAGGCTTATTATTGAAGACAGTCTATGTTTTTTACCCACCTGGAAAACTGGAAAACACTGGAATCCAGAGGCTTAAGTTGAAGAGAAGGTGTTTTGTTATCTTCTCCAATAGATGGAAGCCGGCTAGGGCTATCAATTTCCTCATATCCCATTGTTCTATTATTTAATTCATCCATATCTTGAATAGTAGGGATCTTCAGTGGATTAGTGAATACCTAGCAAAGAAAAAAATGATGCATAAAAATCCCAATTGCAAACTGAATATCAAAGGATGAGTCAATCCTTCTGATGCTAGGAAAGAACACTTAGCCAAATAAAAAGAAACTGTTTCCTACACAGAACAAACAGCATACAGTAATGTACACTAGAACACTGAACCCAGGCACGTTTACTTATAACCTAGTCAGCTGGATGCCATCAGACCTCCCCAACTCACTTATTGGCTCCTAGAGTCATCCCACCCACAACATTAACCCTGGCCCCCTAGTCAGTGTCTAATTCTCTCTTTTGACCCAGTTTAAGGCTGGATTTTTTTACTCCTCCGAGATCTGTTACGAAGGTAGAGATGGAGGGAATAAGCATTGCAGCATGTATTGGTGCTGGATTTGGAGAAATGCATGCAAGGCATTAACAAGTATACATAGTGCACACACACAGAAACATGCGTCTGGGATCTTATGGAAGAGCCAGCTTATGAAAATAGTATGAATGATGAAGGTGAAGGAATATAAAGGGGAGGTAAACTGAATGAGGACAGGGCAGTCCCAGCAAATCTCCCAATCTCTAGATAAGACTATAAAGCCAAGACAGTAGGGCATGGAACCTCAATATTCATATAACTGGGTCTTGGTAGACTGTCAGAAAAATTAGTATTAAATTGCCTCTATCCTCACCAGTCTGACCTACCCTGATTGAATGGGTGAAAGGTGAATCTAACATGCGACTAGTAGATATCTCTGGGAAAGAGGGTCAACAGGAAAATCATGCAGATAGGAAAGGTTGGGGGGGGATATATGGGTGCTATGGTGGCTGTCAGGAAAGGAGTGTCCCTGAAAGGACGGCCAACCTTATTGCACCCTTCAGCGTCCGGAGCTGGGCAACCATGTCCGAGAGACAGTGCTCCTGAAAATTCAAAATAGCAAAGTCTTTATAAAGCAAGCCAGCCTGAAAGCAGGGATGGGAAAGGGGCACAAAGAACCACCCTTCTTCCCAAAAGGAGGGAGGAAGAATCACCCCTGAATCCTGGAGGAAAGGAGACTGAAGAAAACCAGACACTCAACAGGAGCAGCCTGTATGAGGATGGAACATAACCCTGAAAATTCTGTGACACAGAAGGTGACATTCACACTGTCCAGAATCAGTACTGAATCCAAATTTGGGAAATGAATGATTTGCTCTTCTATTTTTGGTCATCTGAACATCAGTAACAGCAGATTAAAGCAAAATCAAAAGATCCAATGAAAAAAGACCATCAGAAGAAATGGTTCATTATTTCTATACAGCTTTCAAGATTGCTGCTTCCTTCAACCTATGTCCTCTGTTGGGGAAAATTTTGTGTGAGAAAAGGAAGAGGGCAGACTGTCTCTCACCTGGTGGTTCTCTTTTTCCATTGGCACATTCTTCTTCTCAACAGTTTGATCTCTAGGAGAAGATAAAAGTGCTATTTAGTTCATTCATGAAATTTCTCAATCTAAATGGATTACCAATTGTAGATTCAGGTTTTAATGTTCCTTCCAAATTAGAAATAGTGTAGGCCTCATTGAGTTTCTAAAGATGCCTTCCTGAACTCTGCTACTGAAGAGAAATTTCAGATGCCCTATTGAAAGAGAGAGGAGGAGGGGAGGGAGACTAAAGACAATCACTAATTGAGAAACTCGGGAGATGATTAGAAGAAATAAAAAAACTGGGAGAATAGAGAGGTGAGGGGGGAAAATCATTAAAAACCAAAAAAGAAAAATATTTACCCCTGTTTTCAAAACTCCCCTGTTCTATTAGGAAGGGTCAGCTTCCTCTATTGTATAATACAGAATACTACCTTAGGTATACTTAACTGTTTCTTAGCTTTGCTCAAGTACAGGTCTTCATCAATGAGTTCTTGTTCCTCTGGAACAGAGCATCTCCTGCAGCATAGAGAAGAAATCACCTTTCAGAAATAAAATGTACCCTTTGCTTGTATCTTTTCCTTTCCTCACAGTTATGACAAGGGAGCTTACCAACCCTCTAATCTTATAAAACTCAGATTCCACCCACATTACAAAACCTGTGTGTAGGTCAATGTGTAGCAAGTCTTATTTCAAGGCATACGACCATCTAATTATTTTTAGTGCATATATCACCTTTCTCCCAATATAGTCAAAGTACTTGACACTTACAAAATTCATATTATGGTGGGCAGCACAAAACATAATCTCTATTCCTACACAGTGAAATTCAAGCACATAAGAGACTTGCTTGAGTTTCCATGCAAAGAGAATATTGCTGAAACTAGAACCTAGGTCTTTTGCTTCTCATTTACTAAGAAATTCCCAAGATGCAGTCCAGAAGCATGATAATCCCTAAATTAGGTGATGATGCCTGAAGAAGAAAATGAAAGGTATGATAGAAAGCAGCAGTAGGAAACTAGGAGCTTACATCATAGGACAGAAACTAGCAAAAAAGAAGAAAAAGGAGGACTATTTAAATGAAAATATATACAAATGTTTACTATATGTAAAGCACAAGGAAGATACTTTTAGAGAAATAAAAACTGAAAACAGCACTAGAAAAAAATTCAGTGGTCAAAGTAATCCTAGAAACAAATAAAAATGAATAATAATTGGAAACCCTATGCTATACCCATTTTATAAGGGGGCAAAGTATCCTGGAAAGCTATGTCTCCTGCACTAAGTGTAAACTGATAGGAGATACAGGATTAAAAAAATGAGACTTCTATGCATTCAGCCCCATATTCAAATCACAATCTCAGTTCCTCTCCATGGAGAGGTGCTTAAGCACAACTGGAGACTATGAAGGAATGCTTACTCATTATAGACCTAGATTTCATTTATTTGATTTCCTCCATTTTAAACATTTTTTTCTAAAAAGCATACTGCTTTAGTACCTTTTTATATTTTTTAACTTATTTATTTTTATTTTGAAGTACATTTATTAAAGCTGTGGACAGTGAAACAAGGAAGGGCTTAGGATACAAGAAGCAACAGGAGAGAGCCTAGGTGGTGCTGCTTTGGCTCACTGGAAAGTCAGAAAAAAGGGGGCCTTGGAGACAGGTTGAGGGGCTAGCCCAGGATGATCTGCCACTGCCCATTGCTCCCCTGGTTGCAAGTCTCATGAGGACCCTTAGAATTTAGGAGATGCATGCCTGAAAGGGAAGAAAGGTGTGAACATGCTCCTGGGAGGGAGAGTGCCTAGTACTTTTTTTCTATCAGCATTTAGCCTGAGGGGAAAACAATTACATCACAGCAGAAATGAAGCAAACTGAGTTACTATCATAGACCTATGTGACTACTGAATCGAATAAAAAAATTTAATTGAAATGAATGCGCATGGATATGCCAGGCACTATCTAGATGTTAGATGCTACAAGGAACAAACAGTGTGTTAAAAAGACAAACATGTAAACAAATAGCACTGAATGTACAATAGGTACTACAACATATTCAGGTATAAGAAGCATATGAAGAAAACCATCAACTCGACCAAAAATGTAAAACCCTTGTTCTTGAATACCTTAAAATTTCTCGAAGAGCCAAAGTCTATACATATGAAAAACATCCAAAAAATACAAAATGAAATGTGAAAAAATGTCAAGAATTAAACACTAGAGTAAAGAAGCCAGAGTAAAATCACTGTAAACTATTATCTACAAAAGTATCACATAAAATACTTAATTAAGCATCTCAGATGGATATGATTTGGATATGGAGAATGCATAAAGTCATTGTAAGCAAGTGGAATAACATTACCAAGTTGTGAGGGAGGGAATAAGTATGGCATGTGTGGGTAATACTGAAGTCACCAGGTCTAGCTAAAGCATAGGGTTTGTGTTAAGATACAATGAAAACGCCCTGGCCAGTTTGGCTCAGCGGTTAGAGTGTCGGCCTGCGGTCCAGAGAGACCCGGGTTCGGTTCCCGCTAAGGGCACGTACTTCAGTTGCAGTTTGTCCCCGGCCCTGGTTGGTCGTGCAGGTGGCAGCCACTCGATGTGTCCCTTTCACATCGATGTTTCTCACTCTCTCTCCCTCCCACTCTATCTGAACAAAAAATGGAAAAATATCCTTGGGTGAGGATAAAAAAAAAAAAAAAAAGATACAATGAAAAATAAGGCTAGATAGGTAAGGTGGGACCAGTTGACACATAGACTGCAATGCCAGGATGAAAAGTGTGGACTTGAGATGAAAAGTGTTTTAGAATTACAGAAAAATTAGAAATTTTCTCTGGCATAATACTGAGCCCTAAGCTTACCTGTACTTTGGATGAGAATTATAGTAACAAAACCATCTTGCAGGTAATGTAGATGGATCAACCTTGCCAGGAAGCTTCCTCCATTTAAGACACTCATCACACTGTACCCACGTCTGATCAGGAATCTTCCTGAATGAAGAAAAATATAAGTATGACTGTGTGAATCCTAGGTCTGTGCTGTGTATTACATTAGAAAGCCACACCCTAAAAGTGAAAAAACATAATTTTATATATGAAATGTGTTATAACTGTTATAGTCTAGGTGTCTAAAATGTATATATCTTGAACTTCACAGAAAAAATAATGATAAAAGCAGGCCAGATATGGATATGAAAAATAGTAACAAATATGAACATGGTGAGTGAGCTACCATTATTTATGGATCAGTATTACTTATCCTGGAATCTCTTCTTCTAAGCAAGCAAGAGGATAATTTTAACTCTAAAAATAATTAATAAAATATAAACAATATTACCAAGAAATAAAACCCACAGAATCATTTTATTTGGTTCTATCCAATCCTGTGACAAGTTTAAAATGGAGGAAGGGGGGACAGGAAGAGATTAACCACAAAGAACTTATATGCATATATGCATAGCCCTTAGACACAGACAATAGTGTGGTGAAGGCTTAGGGCAGGGCAGGGCAGGAGCCTGGTAGAGGGAGATAAGGTGTCGGGGAGAATGGGAAAACAACTGTAATACTCTCAACAATAAAAATAAATGTTAATAAATGCATTTGTGCCCTGGCTGGTTTGGCTCAGCCCATGGACGAGTGAGTCACAGGTTCAATTCCAATCAAGGGCACGTACCTCAATTGCGGTTTGTCCCTGGCACTAGTCGGAGTCGTGCAGGAGGCAACCAGTCGATGTGTCCCTCTCACGTCGATGTTTCGCTCTCTCTCCCTTTCTCTCCCTCACTCTCCCTCCTATTCTATCTGAAGATAAATAGGGGATTCCAAAATGGCGGTGGAGTGAATGGAAGATACACAGACCATCTCCCAGGACCAAGCTGGAATTACAACGAAAATAAAGACAAATGGTCAGGAAAAAGCAACAAAAAAGCAGGTTGGAGAACCATATAACCAGAGACACTGACTCGATGCTGGATAGATTGCGGAGGCACGAGAGGGGGGCTAGGAGCCCACAGACAGCAGCAGCCTTAGCTGTGAGCAGTGCCCTTGGGTTATACTCCCAAGCAGCTCCACAGCGCAGTGCCAGGAGAGATGCTAAAATAGCCACAGCCACTTACCTTGGGCTCCGGCAGAGGGGGGTGGACTGGACTGGAACTGTGTGGGGACACTCGGGATTTGGAGGGGGCTCAGAGCTTTTACTGACTTGCAGCCACACAGGACGGTGGCCATCTTACTCCTTTCCAGGGCTCTGGGGAGAGGGGACGGCCCTCCCTCAGAGATTCAAACCCACCAACGCAGGCCATTAAAATGCATATAGAGGCTCACTAACAAGGAGCATCTGCCCACCCTCGGGAATACCCTAATGCTGAGCACCTAAGGGAGTTTTTCATTCAACTGAGAACCCAAGGCTCTTCAAGTAACCACAAAAGAGCCACAAGGCTCTTCAAGTATCCTGCAGGCAAAAATTTACAGGATAACTGATTCATTCCTGGGCTAGCAACTCTGCCCAGAAAGGTAAGACTTGACAGTGGTGATTAATGTGGGTCCTCTCATGCTCATCCAAACCCAGTAGAGGGTGCCACAAATAAAAGAACACCAAAACCAACAGGGAAAATTTAGCATGCTCCAGAGATGACTGAGATAGCCAAAATGGTAAAACAAAGAACCAAATGCCAAACGAAAGAACAAGAGACCACTGCCAAAGACGAGATAAATGAGGTACAGTTAAGCAACTTAACAGAACTAGAATTCAGGGCCATGATCTTGAGGAAGCTCAACAGTATGTGTAAGGATAGGAGCACTGTGAGTAAAGACATTGAAATGTTAAAAATTGCCCTGGCCGGTTTGGCTCAGCGGTTGGAGCGTTGGCCTGCAGTACAGAGAAACCCGGGTTCGGTTCCCACTAAGGGCACGTACCTCGGTTGCAGTTTGTCCCCAGCCCTGGTTGGTCGTGCGGGTGGCAGCCACTCGATGTGTCCCTTCACATCGATGTTTCTCTCTCTCTCTTCCTCTCTCTCCCTCCCGCTCTATCTGAACAAAAAATGGAAAAATGTCCTCGGGTGAGGGAAAAAAAAATTAACCAATTGGAAATTAAAAACCACCAAGAATAAATAAAGAATGACATATCAGAAATAAAGAACACATTGGAAGGTCTAAACAGCAGAGTAGAGGAAGCAGAGAACCGGATCAGTGAATTAGAAGACAGGGTAGAAAAAAATCAACCAATCAGAAAACCAAAAGGAAAAAATAATAGAAAACAACAACAGGAAGACAGCTTAAGAGAACTGTGGGACAACTGGAAACATAATAATATTCGCATCATAGGCGTTCCCGAAGAGGAAGAAAATGAGCAAGGGTTGGAGAATATATTTGAAGAAATAGTGACAGAAAACTTCCCTAATTTAGTGAAGGAAGAAGGCATTCAAGTTCAAGAAGCACAGAGAGCCCCAAATAAGAAGAACCCAAACAAGCCCACACCAAGACACATAGTAATTCATATGCCAAAAATTAAAGACAAACAGAGAATCCTAAAAGCAGCAAGAGATGAGAAACAGGTTACCTACAAAGGAACCCCCATAGGCTCTCAACTGACTTCTCAACAGAAACACTACAGGCCAGAAGGGAATGGCATGAAGTAATCAAGGTCATGAAAAACAAAGATCTGAATCCAAGACTACTCTACCCAGCAAGGCTATCATTCAAAATAGAAGGTCAAATAAAGAGCTTCCCTGACAGAAAAAGGCTAAGGGAATACATTAGCATGAAACCAGCACTGTAAGAAATGTAAAAAGGGCTGCTGTAATTAGTAGAAGAACTAGGAAGAAAAATATAACCAAACTAAAACAAAATGGCAATAAATAAGTACATGTCAATAATCACCTTAAATGTAAATAGACTGATTGCTCCAATAAAAAGACACAGAGTAGCTGATTGGATAAGAAAGCATGACTCATCTATATGTTGTTTACAAAAGACCCACCTCACAACAAAAGACTCACATAGAAAATGAAGGGATGGAAAAAAATCTTCCAAGCAAACGGAAGGGGAAAAAAATCTGCGGTAGCAATGTTCCTATCAGACAAAATAGACTTCAAACTGAAGGCCATAACTAGAGACAAAAAAGGCCACTACATAATATTGAAAGGATCTGTCCAGCAGATAGATATAACCTTGATAAACATATATGTACCAAATATAGTAGCACCAAAATGTATTAAAAATCTTTTAGAGGACCTAAAAGGAGAAATCGACAGCAATACAGTCATAGCAGGGGACTTCAACACCCCGCTAACATCACTGGATACGTCCTATAGACAGAATATTAGTAAGGAAACAGAGACTCTAAATTAGGCACTAGACCAAATGGATTTAATAGATATGTATAGAGAATTACACCCCAAAACTACAGAATTCACATTCTTCTCAAGTGCACATGTGACATTCTAAAAGATAGACCACATGTTAGGACAGAAACTAAGTCTCCACAAGTTCAAGAAGATTGAAATCATATCAAGCATCTTCTCAGATCACAATGATATAAAACTAGAAACCAATTGCAACAAGAACATGCAAAGACATTTGAACAGACGGAGGCTAAATAGCATGTTGTTAAACAACGAATGGGTTACCGAGGAGATGAAGGAAGAAATTAAAAACTTCCTGGAAACCAATGAAAATGAACACACAACAACACAAGATTTTTGGTATGCAGCAAAAGCAGTTCTGAGAGGGAAGTTCATAGCACTACAGGCCTACCTCAAGAAACAAAAAAAAATTTCTAATTGACTATCTAACCTCACAACTTAAAAAACTGAAAAGCAAACAAAAAGAAAACCCCAGAGCAAGTAGAAGGAAGGAAATAGTAAAGATCAGAGCATAAATAAATGACATAGAGTCCAAAAAAAACAATTCACAGGATCAATGAAACAAAGAGCTGGTTCTTTGCAAAGATAAACAAGATTGATGGACCCTTAGCTAAACTCACCAAGAAACAAAGAGAGAGAATCCAAATACACAAAATCAGAAATGAAAGAGAAGTAACAACTGACACCACAGAAATACAAAAGATCATCAACAGCTACTATGAACAATTATATGGCAACAAATTCGACAATCTAAGCGAAATGGACAAATTCCTAGAAACACATAGTCTCCCAAAACTGGACCAGGAAGAGATAGAAAAGTTGAACAGACCAATAACAACTAAGGAAATTGAAGATGTAATCAAGACTCTCCCAGCAAACAAAAGCCCAGGCCCGGATGGCTTCGCAGGGGAGTTTTACTGAACATTCTAAAAAGAACTAACACACATTCTCCTCAAACTATTTCGAAAAATTCAAGAAGAAAGAAGACTTCCAAACTCGTTTTATGAGGCTAGCACAATTCTAATTCCAAAATCAGAAAAAGATACCACAAGGAAAGAAAACTACAGGCCAATATCCCTGATGAACATAGATGCCAAAATCCTGAACAAAATACTAGCAAATCGGATCCAGCAATACACCAAACAAATTATCCACCATGACCAAGTGGGATTCATCCCAGGGATGACAGGCTGGTACAATATTCGCAAATCAATAAATGTGATACACCACAAAAATAAAATGAAGAATAAAAACCACATGATCATATCAATAGATGCTGAAAAAGCCTTCAACAAAATCCAGCATCCATTTCTGATAAAAATGCTCAGCAATGTGGGAATAAAGAGATCATATCTCGCCATAATAAAGGCCATATATAAAACACCTACAGCCAACATCATACTCAATAGGCAAAAATTAAAAGCATTTCCCTTAAGAACAGGAACAAATCAATGGTGGCCACTTTCACCACTCTTATTTAACATAGTACTGGAAGTCTTAGCCAAAGCTAACAGACAGGAAGGAAAAATAAAAGGGATCCAAAGTGGAAAGGAAGAAGTGAAACTGTCATTATTTGCCGATGATATGATACTATATGTAGAAAACCCCAAAGACTCCATCAAAAATTAACTAGATTTAATAAATAAATTTGGCAAAGTAACAGGATACAAAATTAACGTCAAGAAATCAATGGCATTCTTTTACACCAATGATGAACTCACAGAAAGAGAAACTAAGAAAACAATCCCATTTACCATTGAGGCAACAAAATTAAGAGACCTAGGAATAAACTTAACTAAAGAAATACAGGACCTCTTCGCAGAAAACTACAAGTCATTGAAAAAAGAAATAGAGGAAGATATAAAAAAGTGGAAGCACATACCTTGTTCATGGATTAGAAGAATTAACATCATTAAAATGTCCATACTACCCAAAGCAATCTATAGATTCAATGCAATCCCCAATCAAATACCAACGACATACTTCACAGAACTAGAACTAATATTTCAAAAGTTCATATGGAACCAAAAAAGACCTCGAATAGCCACAGTAATCTTGAAAAAGAAGAGCAAAGTTGGAGGGAATCACATTACCAGATTTCATGTTATACTACAAAGCCACTGTAATCAAAATAGCCTGGTACTGGCACAGGAACAGGAACATAGACCAGTGGAACAGAACAGAGAACCCAGAAATGGACCCAAGACAATATGCTCAATTAATATTTGTCAAAGGGGACAAGAGCATACAGTGGAGTAAAGACAGCTTCTTTAATAAATGGTGCTGGGAAAATTGTACAGCTACATGCAAAAAAAAAATGAAACTAGACCATCAACTTACACTATGCACAAAATAAACTCAAAATGGATAAAAGACTTAAAAGTGACTCATGAATCCATAAAAATCCTAAAAGAAAATGTAGGCAACAAAATTTCAGACATTGTACACAGTAGAATTTTCACTGATACATCCCCTAAGGCTACAGAAATAAAGGAGAAAATGAACACATGGGACTACATTAAACTCAAAAGCTTCTGCACAGCAAAAGATACAATCATCAAAATGGAAAGGCAATGCCCTCTATGGGAGAGCATAATTGCCAATGTTATATCAGATAAGGGGTTAATTTCCAGTATATATAGAGTGCTCATGCAACTCAACAAAAAGAAGACAAAAAACCCAATTAAAAAATGGGCAGAGGAACTAAATAGACACCTCTCCAAACAGGACATACAAATGGCTAAGAGACAAATGAAGAAATGCTCAACACCACTAATCTTCGGAGAGATGCAAATAAAAACAACAATGAGGTATCACGTCACACCTGGCAGAATGGCTGCCATCAACAAATCATCAAGCAACAAGTGTTGGCGAGGGTGTGGAGAAGAGGGGACTCCAGTACATTGTTGGTGGGAATGCAGGCTGGTACAGCCACTATGGAAAACAATATGGTGTTACCTCAAAAAATTAAAAATTGAACTTTCATTTGACCCAGTGATCCCACTTCTCAGAATATACCCTAAGAAGCCTGAAACACCAATCAGAACGAATATATGTACCCCCATGTTTGTAGCAGCACGATTTACAATAGCTAAGATCTGGAAACAGCCCTAATGTCCATCAGTAGACAAATGGATAAAAAAGCTGTGGTACATGTACTCAATGGAGTACCACGCAGCCGTAAGAAAGAAATATCTCTTATCCTTTGAGACAACATGGAGGGACCTGGAAAGTATTATCCTATGCGAAAGAAGCCAAACAGAGAAAGACATGTATCATATGATCTCACTTATTTGTGGAATATAATGAACATAACAGTCTGAGGAATGGGGTAGTCCCAGAAACGTGAAAGTGGGGTACAGACTTACAATCCCCTGAAGAGGGGATGGTGGGGGAGAGATAAACCACAGAACTTATATGCATGTGTGCACGAACGAAGGACATGGACAACAAAGCTGGGCATAGGGCGGGGATGAAGGGGGAGGGGGGAATCAGGGGGGAAAAAGGAGAAACATCTGTACCAAAAATAAATAGATTAATTAAATAAAAAAAGATAAATAGAAAAATATCCTCAGGTGAGGATTAAAAAAAAAGAAATGCATTTGTTGGAGTCATTGAAGAATGGTCATCAAAACCTCTCCATTTCCCTACAGACCCCTTACTTCTATTTTCTTATTCTTTCAAAAATGGTCTTTGTTTATACCTTAATCCAAATTTTTTTACGTTGATATTTCCAAAGTTAATCTTAAAAAGTAGTATAAATTCAAGTTATTGTTTTTTAATCCTCACCTGAGGATATCTTCTATTTATCTTCAGATAGAGTGGGAGGGAGGGAGAGAGAGGGAGAGAGAGAAACATCGATGTGAGAGAGACATATTGACTGGCTGCCTCCTGAACAACCCCAACCAGGGCGGGAGATGAACCATAACCCATGTATGTGCCCTTGACAGGAATGGAACCCACAACTCATTGGTCTGTGGGCTGACACTCTAACCACTGAGGAAAACCGGTTGGAGCAAATTTGGTTACATTTTGTAACTAGAAATGGTGGCTCCAGTCTAACAATTGGGTCACATTATTAAGATACATTATCCCAGAGTTCTACTCTACTTTAAAAGTAAGTTTTTATTGAATTTCTTTTTAAAGAGAGAGGAAGGGAGAGTGGGAGAGAGACAGAAACATCAATGAGAGAGAAACATCCATTGGCTGCCTCCTGCCAGCTCCCGACTGGGGATGGAGCCCAAAATCTGGGTGTGTGCCTTCACTGGAATCAAGCCAATGACTTCTTGACCCATGGATCAATGCTCAACCACTTACCCACCCCGGCTGGGCAAGAGTCCTACTCATAATACACATACCTTTTATCATCCCCACCCCCAGGAAGCATATCACCTTCACCTTAAAGTGAATTTGTTTCTCTGTCAAAGAAGGTGGTCCATTTATAATAGAAATAGCATCTAAGATTTGTAAGGAGTGGGAATAGGGAAGGCTGGAGAAAAGACACAGAAAGAGGGTAGAGGGGCACATAGGACCAATTTGTAAAACATGTAATTTAGCCTAGGGTGGGTTTTGTGTTACATTTATATTGCTCTTATATACTAGAGATTTCAGTAGAATAATGTATTTTTTTTTATGTTTTAGTTCAATGTATTTTCTTATCTTTGTAAATAGTGGGTTTTTTTCCTAGTTATAAAAGTAATATCAGTTCATTATAGAAAAAAAAAAGAAAAAGGGAAATACAGGAAGATATAAAAAGAAAATAAAAGACACTCATAATTCCACCACTCAAACAATGCCTTCTTTTTTGTTTAAAACTCTGTTTTGGAAAAGAGAATTCATACAGATTTTTTGGATATATAGCCTCTTGTCTCCCAGCTCCAGGCTGTTCCAGCCTTGCAACCTCTAAACTCTGAGCTCAGGCCTGACCTCTGGTGTCTATATATTTAAACACAGCCACTGTTTTATTTAGAGCCAGAGCAGCAAAAAGCAGTTTCTGCAATAGTGGGAGGGGAAGAGGAAAGGTCACATTAACTTTGGTTTTACATGTACATGCACAGAAGAGTCTCTTGCAGAAGCATGTCAGTATTACTCTCTTGGGGACCAACATTAAAGACAGCAACTCCCTGCCTCAGGTTACCTGCAGACCATGGTAGATCATTCCTATCCAGACAGATAGAACAGGCTTTTAGCTTGAGCTTGCAATAAATAGGTAATCGAAGGGGCTGAACTATGTTATCCTCATTGCATCCTTCCAGGAGAGTGTCATGGTTAAGAACTAGGGTTTTGGAGCCCAACTGCCTATATTTAAACCTTAGATCTCTACTTTCTACCTGTCTAATCTTGAGCAAGTTACTTAAGCTCTCAGTGTATCAGTATCTATATTTGTATAGAAGAAATAATATCATCTGTCTATCTCATAGGGTTATGATGAATCAATACATGGAAAATATAAGTAAAAATTTTAGACCAGTGCCTGGAATATAAGTACTCAACAAATAATAATCATTACAATTCTGCTTCCACAGAGATTATATAGCATACACACACACACACTCCAGCAATATATGACTATCTGTTTTATTGCACTAATCAGTGCTTATTTGAAAGGTCAAAAATGGCATCTCATCTTAATTTTCATGTCTTTGAAAACCATGGAGGTGGGACATGAGCAAGATATTTAGAATAAGATAGTAATATTTATATATATACAATCATATATTTATACAATCAGGTTGCATTTGAAACAAAATTTTATATCATACATTTTCCTAATGATTTCCATGTAAAAGAAAAACACGGGTGCCTGTCTACCTAAAAATGAACTTTAAATACTCTAATCTTTGTCTTGATGGTAGTGTGACTGTATAAGTGTTGTTACACATTCTATCCTGTATTATGCTAGTTTCCTGGCCTACTGAGGCATTTTATCCTGATCCATAGTTAAATAATTTCTACCTTTTTTCTGATATGCTGGGTTCTCTACTTCGGTTGTCAAATTCCTTTGTACAGTTCCAACAATGTTCACTAAGAATAAAAAGAAGAAAAGTTTGCTAACATTTCTGAATATCTACTATATGCTAGGCACTGTGCTAAAAAAAAAAATTATTATATTCGGAAAGGTGAAGTGACTGACTTACCCAAGTTCATCCAAGTATTAAAAAGCTGAACCAGATTTTCAAACCTATAGTATCTGATTTAAATGTCCCTTATCTTCCACTATATCATATTGCCTATAGGGTAAACTGAACAAATTAAACTCTTCATATTTATGATCCAAACCACAAGTGTTAAACCAGAACAAAGAGGTCCAGATAATGATACAATTAGTACCAGTGACATCCCAATTTTAGTTAATTAAACTTTCTTATGTAAAAAGCACCATCTTCTCCTTGCTTGCATTTGCTCTATAGACATTATCCACCAATACTTTTATATTCTATATTTACTACTCACGGTATTGTCCTGGCTAAGGCTGATGTCTCAAAATTATCTTGAGAAATCCTTTCCTTCCAATAAGCATTGAGCTTCTGAGCAAGGGCATTTATTGTCAACCTGAAAGAAAAAGCAAGAAGCACGTCAACATTGAGAATTTGTTGAAAAACTGCGACCTATGAGATGCTCTCATCTAAGAGAAGCCAACAATTTAGAATATTCCGCATAGGTTTGAACATCTACACTTACAGGAACTAGGATGGAAATCCACTACCTTGCAAATTACATGTCAAAATGACAGTCAGAATCCTGAATAGTCACTTTGATTGAAAAGGTAAAGTGGTTATAAGTCCTAAAAAGAGCTGTGTTCTCCAAATTTTCAGGGCTTTTTGAATCATGGTGTGGGAGTATGGAGTTGACATTAGAGAAATGACAGAGGGCTAAATTTCAGAACTAGAACAGAACCAAATATGGTAAATTATTTGATTGTCAGATGACTACAGGTAAACAATTCAGGACCAAGTTAAAAGTCAGAGGATCAAATACTGTACCCTATCTATTACAAGTCAATCAAATACTAACTTAAAAAATGTCCATACAGTTCCTGTTTATATAAATGCTTCTCAGAGCAGTTATAGCACTGGGCAACAAAGTCCTCTTAGACCTTCTCCTATACATCTGCTAGCAGAAGCTATACCCCAGTTCTGGCTGTTGTTCTTGCTTCTTTATCTCTCTTCCCAAATTAACAACAGTAGGCCCAGGGTCAAAAAATGTAATGTGCGTAAGTCAAAAATGGAATTTTACTTTAAAAAACTGCTGATTTATAATGACATTGAATTCTACAACCCAGGATTACAACTTCATGTACCAGAAACACTACAGAATTAGTATGTTTAAAATCCCTTGATTCCCTAGATTGCTTCCCAAGGTTTTTACACACCTCTTCTCTCCTTAGGAATTCTTCCTTACTGCCACCTTACTCATATTAAGTTAGATTCTGAATATACAGAGAAGAGTAAAGTAATCATACATGAGGTCTTCCTTTCCCCCAACCTACCAATGTTCCTACCTCTATGTTTAAATTCTTTCCTCAAGTCACATGTGAAGAACTATTCCTTGTTTTCTCTTAAAATTCTACTTTAAAAATAAGTAAATTACACCTAAGGCCACGGAAACAAAGGAAAAAATGAGCACATGGGACTACATCAAACTCAAAAGCTTCTGTACAGCAAAAGAAACAACCATTAAAAGGGAACCCACTGTATGGGAGAGCATAACTGCCAATGATACATCAGATAAGGGGTTAATTTCCAGTACATATAGAGTGCTCATACAGCTCAACAAAGGAAGACAAAGAACCCAGTTAAAAAATGGGCAGAGGAACTAAACAGACACCTCTCCAAACAGGACATACAAATGGCCAAGAGACATATGAAGAAATGCTCAACATCACTAATCATCAGAGAGATGCAAATTAAAAACACAATGAGGTATCACCTCACACCTGTTAGAATGGCCACCATCAACAAATCATCAAACAACAAGTGTTGGCGAGGGTGTGGAGAAAAGGGGACTCTAGTACACTGCTGCTGGGAATGCAGACTGGTGCAGCCAATATGAAAAACACTATAGTGCTACCTCAAAAAATTAAAAATCGAACTGCCATTTGACCCAGTGATCCCACTTCTAGGAATATATCCTAAGAAACCTGAAACACCAATTAGAAAAAATGTATGTACCCCCATGTTCATAGCATCACTATTTACAATAGTTAAGATCTGGATCAGCCCAAGTTTCCATCAGTAGACAAATGGATAACAAAGCTGTGGTACATATACACAATGGAGTACTACACAGCTGTAAGAAAGAAAGGTCTCTTATCCTTTGAGATGACATGGAGGGACCTGGAGAATATTATCCTAAGCGAAACAACCCAAGCAGAGAAAGACAAATATCACATGATCTCACTTATTTGTGGAATATAATGAACATAACAGTCTGAGGAACAGGGTACACCCAGACACATGGAAGTAGGGTACAGACTGACAACCCTCAGAAGAGGGGGTTGGGGGAAGAGAGGAGATAAACCACATGTATGCATAACTGAGGGACATGGACAACAAAGCTGGGGACAGTGTTGGGGAGTGGGGAGGAGGGTGTCAATGGGGAAAAAAGGAGAAATATTTGTACAAAAATAAGTAAATTAGACAGAATTCTGGGAAGATAATAAAAGTAGAAAGCACTGAGAATTTTACTGTCCACCTAGACAGCAACTGCACTGGCAGAAACTGTATGCTGTAACTATTTGGAACTGTGCAGTCTGTTAAAGGCTTGTAACTTCCAGGGGAAAGCTTAGATGGTAAACTGGCAAATTTCAGCTCTTAGCACAGTAGTAGCTACCATCCCCTATCCCAGACCAGTGACAGGCAGCTGTGCACACAGGAGCCAGGGTGGGCAAAAAGAACTCTGTCCTTCAAACATCAGGAATCTGTGCTCTGATAGCCATTTGCTGCTCCTGATCAAAGGATCATGTAATCTCGATCATAACCACAAAGAAAACAGCTATAAAATATACACAAAAGAAAATAAAAAGATTTAAATGTTTCACTATGAAAAATCAACTGAATGCAAAATAAGACAGTAATGCAGGAAGCAAAGGTCACAAAATCTACAAAACCTATAAAAAAAAAGTAGAAAAATGACAGAAGCCCCTCCTTACCAGTAATTACTTTAATGTAAATAGATTAAACTCTCCAATCAAAAGACAGAGATTAGTAGAATGGGTGAAAAAACACAATCCAAATATATGCTGTCTATAGGAGACTAAATTTAGATACAAAGGCACAAGTAGATAGAAAGTGAAAGGATGGAAAAGGATATTCTATATAAACTGTAAAGAGAGCAAGGATGGCTATACTAAATACATATTAGACAAAATAAAGTACCCTCCCATCTGCAGTTTTGCTTTCTGAAGTTTTAGTCACCCGCAGTCAACTATGATCCAAAAATATTAAATGAAAAATTCCAAACATAAACAATTCATAAATTTTAAATTGTGCACTCTTCTGAGTATCGGGATTAAAGCTCCCAATGTTCTGCTCCATCCTACCCAGGACATGAATCATCCCTTTGTCCAGCATATTCGTAACCATATGTAGGGTACAATAAGATATATTTTTTAAAGTTTTATTTATTGATTGATTTTAGATAGAGAGAAACATCAATTTATTGTTCCACTTATTTATGCATTCATTGGTTGATTCTTTTATGCTTCCTGACCGGAGATTATACAATAAGATATTTTGAGAGAGACCACATCCATACAACTTTTATTATAGTATATTGTTATAATTTTTCAATTTTATTATTGTTGTTAATGTCTTTCTGTGCATAATTTATAAATTAAACTATCATAGGTATGTATGTATAGGAAAATTATAGTATATATAGGGTTCAGTATTTATTATCCATGATTTCAAGCATCCATGGGGGGTCTTGGAACGTATCCCCCATGGATAAGAGGGGATTACTGTAGCCCTGGCCAGTTTGGCTCAGTTGTTGGAGCATCAGCCTGAGGACCAAAGAGTCATGGGTTTGATTCTGGTCAGGGCCACATTCCTTGGTTGTGGTTCAGTCCCCGGCCCTGGTTGGGGTTGTGCAGGAGGCAGCCAATCGCTGTTTCTCTCTCACATCGATCTCTCTCTCTCTCTCTCTCTCTCTCTTTCTCTCTCTCTCTCTCTCTCTCTCTCTCTCTCTCTCTCCTTCCCATTCTATCTGAAGACAAATGGAAAATATCCTCAGGTGAGGATTTAAAAGAAAATAAAGGGGATTACTGTAGACTATAAATCACAATTGCTAAAATGTGGAAGCAACCCAAATGTCCATTAATGGTTGAATAGAAAAGCAAAATGTAGTATATGCATATCACGGAATATTATTCAGCCTTAAAAAGGGAAGGGAATTCTGATACATGCTACAACATGGATGAAGCTTGAGGACATTATGCTCAGTGAAATAAACCAGCCACAAAAGGCAAATACTGTATGACTTAACTTATGTGAAGTACTTATAGTAGTAAAAATCATAGAAACAGAAAGTGGAGTCATGGTTGCCAGGGCCTGGTGGGGGCAGGCATGGGGAATTATTTTTTAATGGGTATAGAGTTTCACTTTGCAAGATGAAAAGAATTTTGGAGATGGATGGTGGTTAGGGTTGTTTAAAAATATGAATGTACTGGCCGCCCCCCAGTCCACACCGTCCACCGGTGCAACAGCTGGGTGCCTCTAGTCTTCCTGAAGCTTGGGGCTTTCACCTAGCCATCCTCCCTTGGCTGAACTGCAGGTTAGGCTGGTGTCAGGGGATGCCAAAGAGCTGGAGGGAAACCATAAGGCTGAGACCCATATTTAGGAAACGCCTTTCTGCCTGGTGAGAGCTCCAGTGAGGATGAAGAACCTTTAGAAGAATTGTCGAAAGAAGAATTGTGTATGAAAATAAAAAACCTCAAACAAAAACTGACAAACACCCAGAAAGAAAATAGCTGACTTCAACAGTCTTTGGTCATGCTTCAAGGAAACAAACTCAATATAACAACAGAGAAGACCATTTAACATGGAGACATGTTGTTACCACAAGCAGTTACCCAGTTTGAAGAATTGGTTGATATGATGGAGGCCGTGCTTAAGGGTAGAGGAACCATGCTTACATCTGCATTCTCCCTCTGGAGCGCAACAAACAACTCCTCACTAGCTTCATTTGCCTTCATGTGTAATAATTCTAATTCTATTTCTATTTCTATTTCTATTTCTATTTCTATTTCTAATTCTAATTCTAATTCTAATTCTAATTCCAGTTCACCAATTTCCTTGAGCACTGAAGAAGAGCATCACACTGATGAGAAGCAGTTCAAGAGTGAAAAATGGTAGATTGCCTGTTGTAACAAGAGCAAGTCTATGAAGTTTATTAATGATTTAATGTAAGTACTTTACACAAATAATACATGGCCACAAACAATCTGACGAGTGCAAATTCCTCCATTTCAAGGGAGAAAGCTGTAAAGCCAGCTATGAATCAGGATGAAGTTCAGGAAATCATAGTAGTCACAAAAAGAGTTACTTCCCAAC